GGCCCGTCCGGTATCTCTCTCGGTTACTCAGAGCTCTTGTGGTGGATGCAAAGATAAAGGGACCCTCTGGCTTGATTTTTCGGGTCTTTTTGAAATTTAAGAAGTTAAGATTCACAGAAGGTAGTGCGTGGAACGCTTACTACCTTGCTCCTTCAAAAAAATGAATGAATAAAATAAAACACAAGCTTACCTTTACCTTTCTCCAAGTTACCCTAGATAAAATGGTGCAGTGCTCGTGGGCTGCCACCGCACCGTACTGTGACTGGTAGAAACGTTTATGAACACTTAGAAAGTTGTGTGGAAATAGACAAAACAGTGCCTGGTTGAGATAGGAACCGCCGTGACCCCAGCCTTCCCCCGCCCCAAATACCCAAACCCCAGTGGAAAGGTGGGCAGGGCTCTGTTCCTTTTCATTTGCTTTTTAACCCCATCTTTGGCCTGACAGAGGGAGATAAGGACTGCCCTCTTTTATACAGGACAATGTGGGCGACCTCTGTTTGCACAAGTTCTCAAAACAAGCCAGCATGTCACGATAAACCCTGGGGTTTGGGAACATTTCCGAGGGGAAAACAGAAGTTATTTGTGAAGTTTTCCAGTGATTTAAAACTGTAAGCTTAGCTCCCACTTAACCTCCCCCCCCTCCAACCCCGTGTTGTTTGCAGGTCCTTTGAAACAAGTGTGACGGGAAAATAAATCTTCCTGGGGGCCTGGAGAACAGCACAGACCCTTCTGGGGGCGCCATCCAAGGGCTCCGGATCGGCTCTCTCATCCCACAGTGGAGTGAACCAGGGGGTTTGTGTTCACCTCCAGAATCACCTCCACCAACGTCTCCTTGTTGCAGGCTCATCCTTAATTCATTCGAGGACCCAGAATAGGAGCCGAAGGGTTTGGAGAGAGAATGGCAGTGTAAGCTAAAGCTTTTAGTCTTCCGGAAAGGGTTAAACAACACCTCCTGATAGCCCTTTTGGTTTTGTTTTTAGCTGTGGTGTCCGTGGACGGGCGGCCTGTGAGACTCCAGCTCTGCGACACTGCAGGACAGGTCAGTATCACGTTACACTCGGTACTGGGAAAGGAAACAGCCTTTTAAAGGTTTCCAAATAACCTTTGACAAGTGTCCAAATGATTCCCTCAGTAACTGGGTCATTCTAAAGCCTCACGAAGCAGACCCACCCCTGCTGCTGGCCCCTGTCTGGGGCTGGGGACAGAGCAGAGGAAGATACCTCCAAACTGATAAAACAGAGCTTGGCCCTATTCCGCATGGCCAGGAAAGGGAGAAAGCCGGTCAAGAACCACTCTCATGTTACAGGAGTTTCTGACATTACGTATTCTCTGGTTTTTATGAGAAACGATCAGTGGTGCTATATCAGTCCATTTCTGTTGCCTATAACAAAATGACCCAGAACCAGGTAATTTAGAAAGAAAACAAAATTTATTGCTTACGGTTTCGGAGGCTAGGAAGTCCAAAGTCCAGGGAACACTTCTGGTGAGGGTCTTGGTGGTGGCAACAGTGACGCGGGGAATCACATTGTGAAATGGCAGAGCAGAGAGAGAGAGAGACTCTCCTCTCCTTTTAAAGCCCTCAGAACCACACCCATGACCACCATTTTAAATCCATTCACTACAGCCCGGTCCTATAATCCAATCACCTCTTCAAGGCCCTACCTTTCAATTACTATAATAGGATTTCACACCCTCAACAGTTACAGTGGGGATTAAGCTTCCAATATATGAAATTTGCAGAACACAATTCAATCAATCTACAGCAGGCACGTTGTCATCATTTCTCAGAGCACATTGGAGATATCTTACTATCATTTTATTAAAGATCAACGAGCCGGATATTTAAGAGTTTGCTCAAGAAAAAGGCGGAGCTTGCTTGCGCAAGGGTTGATATTTACTTCCCCTAAGGCTGTGGTTTGATGTGCTGGGACCAGCTGCACTCCTTGGCACAGGGTCAGTGTCAGAGCGGTCCTCAGCCAGGGGAATGAATGAACGGGACTCACTCTTTCCAAATCATGAACTTCTACTCTTGTTTCGAGGGCCCAGTGCTTGGAGGAAACACCGGGGAGTGATGGAGAGAGTGTGGCTGTGGGATGGAGAGCTGCAGGCTTGCCATCGTCCCGCCCCCAGCAGGTCCTCAGTCTCCGAGGTCGCACTGTGCCTTGAGCAACCGGGGGCTCTTGAGTTTGTCAGAGTGACAGCCAATGAACTCGTTGTCTCTCCAGCGCTTTCTAGAGTTCAGCTAAGTGCTGGGGGTACTTTGTAGGCAGGCAGGAGTGCCCACTCCACTCTCAGAGGCACTGTGCCGTGACCATTTGTGTTTATAAAGAAGTTGACTTCCACAACACCCGGGGAGTGATGGAGAGAGTGTGGCTGTGGGATGGAGAGCTGCAGGCTTGCCATCGTCCCGCCCCCAGCAGGTCCTCAGTCTCCGAGGTCGCACTGTGCCTTGAGCAACCGGGGGCTCTTGAGTTTGTCAGAGTGACAGCCAATGAACTCGTTGTCTCTCCAGCGCTTTCTAGAGTTCAGCTAAGTGCTGGGGGTACTTTGTAGGCAGGCAGGAGTGCCCACTCCACTCTCAGAGGCACTGTGCCGTGACCATTTGTGTTTATAAAGAAGTTGACTTCCACCGTCCCTCTGTGCCTCCTGCAAGCTCAGGTGTCCCAGGTGCCCACCTACTCTGAGACAGCAAATTCAGATCTGAAGAGAGATTTTATTTTTTAAACCTCAAGATGACACAACCAGGCAGCCATGATCCCTGCGGAATGCCGGTCTGGCAGTGCCCATAGCAGTATGTGTGGTCGCCCAGCCTGGGGACACCTCAGTGTTCCCTGCACTGTGAGCAGGAGAAACCAAACACAGTCTGTATTTTATTGCCCATAGAAAAGAAAAATCAAAGAACACGGTCTCTTCTAGTACGTAGTCTTTCTGAATGTCATCCAGGTGTCTGAGTCAAGCTTCACTGCTTTGTGGAAAGTGAGAATGCTTTGCCTACCAGGGCTCAGGCTGTCTGATCTTTAACATGAGGGCAGAGGGGCAGCTCTGTGAGTGCAGGCACCGCCACAGAAGCAGGAGCCTGAGGATAAGACAGAGGATGGGAAAATGGGCATGTCCAAAGGCACGGTTGCCAGAGACCCTTTCAGGGAGGGCCAGCAGCTCAGCACACGTCACTCGGATGTCACTGCTCTCTACCAGCCTCCCAGGAGGGAGCTGACTCTCCACACAAGACGTTGCGTCCCGAGCTGGGATCACACCCCGTGCCCACACACTGCCTGGCACCCAGTGGGGCCTGATCATGGTTTTGGATGGATGGACAAGTGGACTGCTAGGTTCTGGTGGTGCAAACGTGAGCTGTGGGCCTGCCCCATGACAGACTTACTGTCTGTAGGGAAGACAAGCTGGTTCATAAAGCGGGTGAAGGAAACCGGTGAAGTGAAGAGAAGGCAGCTTTGTTCAGAGGCGCCGGCCGGGCAGGCCTGGCAGGAAAGCCTCCGAGCAGAGTTTTGAACGAGGAATAGAATTGTTACCAGGAAAACTTTGTAAAAATGATTGCATTATCAAGGATGAGCTAGATTTTTTTCCTTAGTATTGTCTGCTTAAAAGTCAAGGAAGCCCAAGAATCGTTTTAGAAAGATTTTCACACAAAAAAGTTTATAATTAGGGCAAAAAAAGAGGTTTTGGCACTAGGTTGGTAAGCTTCAGTTTATCTGGAAATTATTCTTCTGGTCTCCCAGGAGTGTTTTTATTGAGATTTCCTGTGTTTCTTAATGTTTGCACTGGTTAGTAGAGGCTACCCTACTAAATAATAAGACCATCATTTGAGAATCTGTAGAAAACCCACTTCAAAACCATTTCTGAAAAATACACTGCTGGTGAGATAAAGTCAGGTTTTCTCTTGTTCCACAGGTATAAATTAGTATTTGTTTCGACCACCAGCGCAGCTGGTCAAGGTGGTCGTTCTTTTCTAGTCTCTCCAATTCTGATCTGATAAACTATTTTTTAAGGAACTTGAAGTGACACCTGCCCTGTTTCCCTAGTGTTGGCCCAGCCCAGGAACACGTCCCTCCCCTGGGCAGTCATTATGACTTCACCAGCCTCTACATTGGGAAAGGCTGCAGCTGGGCACAGGTGCAGGTCCCCTCAGAGGCTGGAGAGCTGGGGCCAGTCTGGCTGTGCTGGCTGAATGAGTGACCAGACATCACTTTTCCTCCCTTTGGGTTCTCCTGTTGGGGAGGGCAGGTGAGTCTGTGAGACGTCAGGAGTTTTAACACTGGACTCACAGTCTCACTCAAGTGTGAGCAGATCATGGACAAAGACTTTAAGAAATACACCTTGGCATATGAGAAGGGAGTGTTGCTGAAACAGGAGGAGTTCACTGTAGGATTGCCAAGAGGAGCTGGAAATTCTTCAGACTTTTGACCTGTGAGGTACTTGGAAAGATCTTTACACTAAAAAAAAAACCAAGTTGCAACTTGACTAGAGGGACAGTACAGTCTCCTGTATGCACCTCTCCCGCTCCAAACCCTGTGCAGCGTCTACACCACAGACCTGGCAAGCACGTGTAAATGGCTTTGGCCTCAGAACACATTTCCTTGAGGATGCATTCCAGTTGGCCTCTCTTCAAATGTGCTTATTGCATAATTTCAGCAAATATCTAAGGTTTCTGGTCAGGCACCGAGCAGGAGGGCTTAATTTCTGTTTTGCTTCCCAAGTACCTCAGCCAGAATCTCAAGAGCTCTGGGGAGCCAGCTTTGCGGAGCCCAGTCACAAGGCCTGCCTTTCTTTTTCTCTTTAATGCAACTCTGGATTCCAGGCTACAGCTGTCCGAGGGCAGTGCCTCCCGCAGGGGTGCCGCCACCCGAGGGGCTGCCTGATGCAGCCTCACCTTTGTGCTTCCTCCGAGGCCCTCTGAGAACAGAGGGAGCAGGTTGCCAAAAGATCTTCAGAGCTGAGCTGTGATCTGCCTGGCTGAATTTCTGAGTTTATTCTTTCAGGACAAAGTTGGCATGAAGAAATTTAGGTCATTCTTTTTCAGCTTTCACATATGGAAACCTCACAGGTAGCGGTGATATTCTGAGATGCCGTATTCATTCCTGAGCGTCTTAGCTGGCTGGTTTTCACATGATTAGTTGGTTGTTGCCCTAAATGAAATACGAGCCTCAGATAACGACAGAACATTCAGATAAGACAGATGCAGGTTTCCTTCGTATCTAGAGAAAAAAGCCACTGATGGAGAATGATGTACGTGTAAACAATACTTTGTAAATAGTCAAGTATGCCAGTTCAGTAATGTGAGCATGGGCACTGGTGAACTTTTTCCTGCTGTTGGGAAATTATCAGTGACGTTATACCTGAGGATGGTTGGCACCCACAGATGTAAATTTTAAATAGGAATGAGATGATGTACATATCTTCCTATGAAAGAGTTGAGTGAACGTTTTCAGTTAGCCCAATTTGGTACTGCAGGGGACTGTGGGAGGTTTGCTATAAAGAGATGCCAAATTGGAGACCGACGTCTGTTCACAATGGAGTCCCCTCTCCTGACCCTGTGCCTGGCGTGTGGGTGGTGTTCAGTATGTGTATCTGTTAAGTAGATGACAGCAGGTTTATTTATATTCAGCTCTGACTCAATCCAGTTCTCTATCCCTTAACGTATGGTGGGACGGGCCCGTTCTTTCTGTCTAAGGCACTGGTGTTGGCAGAGATAAAGGAAGGAGAAAGGAATTGAGAGAAAATGAGGAAAAGAAGGAAACAAGAAGATGCAGCCAGAATGAGAGTGTGCTGAGCGGTGTCCGTGACTGACACGGAGAGGCACAACGTCTCTGAGTTGCTGGTGCCAGTGGCCCCTTCTGGGTCTGTCCTTGTGTCTGATTAACATCACTCTGCACTGTTGTGCATGGTATGGGCAGAATGTGTGCCCAGCATAGGTGGGGTGAAGCCGGTGTCATTTCCAGCTGCCTGGAGCGGGGAGGGGAGGGCTGGGTTCTTAGAGAGAACACCTGTGTTCGTAGACTGGGGTTTGCTGGAGTCAGGTGGGAGTCCTGGGGGTCTGCGTGGATGTGGTTTGAATTTCAGGAGAGTTTCCAGGTACCAAGAGTTGAGAGAGTAAGTCTGGGTTACTCTGAGCTGAAGGCTAGATAAAGCAAATTTCATTTCTAAAACCCACCCACTTAAAGTATTTTCCCTGTGGTAGGTGGCACGTAGGTTGTGAGCACCGATGCCAGCATTGAACACATTTGGCAGTGTCGGGGCGCTGGAAGCAGACAGCTGCTGCACCTGCACCAGGAGCGCTGGCTCCACTGCGCTAAGCAGTGGGGTAGTTTCTAAGA